CCCATATATAGTCATGATAGGTTTATATATGGTCATGATGTGATTTCATCATGACCATATTTTGGCATGTCACATGATTTTGTCTGGATAGGGGCTTTAAATACTACTCACTTCTTGTTTTGGTGCTGAAATTGGTTCTGAGAATGCAAAGAATGGGAGGGCTAGGTTGGCAAAGCCATTCTTGTAGCTCTCCAGCTTCTTGTTGCCATTAGCCATCTTGTAGAGCTCAAGGCACACCAGGCCTACAACCATCGCAGTGGTCGTTGCAATAGCAGGAATAATCTTGCCTGCAATTAGCTTGCTCTGTTGTAAAGGAAGAGATCATTTTTAGGGATAGTTGTAAAAAAAAAAAATAATCAGTTGTAGCACAACTGCTCAGTAGTAATTTATTTTGAAAATTATTTTTAATTATTTCTAATTATTTTCAATGTATTATTTTATTTCGTCATTTTATATAGTCATATTTCATTGTAATAATCTTTTTCATATCAATATTATTATAGTAAAAGTAGTAGTAGTATTAGCAGTAGTATTTTTTATGCAGACTTGTGTTTACCTTATGCCTATCTGCTGGTGGAATTTCATAATTCTCTGCTCTTAGATTTGAAGAGGCCACGATGAAATCCATGTGGAAGTTAGTATCATCATCCTAGAGGGGAAAAAAAAAAACATGAACTTATTAAAAAGCATGCAACATCTTATGCAGCGACTTTGGGATATCTAGCAAAGTTGACTGTATATATCTCTCAATGTTTATAAGGTTTATTAGAGGTTAAAGGGTGACTTTTGTAATCATCAATGTGGCTTGTGACCAAGTCTCTCGATGAGGCTGTGAGGTTAAGAGATGATTTTTGTAATCAACAAGGCTTTGTAATGAAGTCTTTTTACGAGGCTTGGAGGTTGGGCAGATGAATTTTGTAATCATCAATGCTTTGTAACAAAGTCTCTGTATGTGGCTAAAAGGTTTGGGAGTTGAATCTTTGAGGTTTTCAAACCAAGTCTATCTATGAGGCAGACAGGTTAAGAGATGATCGTGATTACCATCAAGGCTTTGTAATCAAGTCTTTTAATGAGGCTCAGGGAGCAGATCATTTGTGACCATCAAGGCTTTGAAACCAAGTATCTTAATGAGACTTGGGGAAGTAAAGCTGATCATTTATGATTATTTAGACTTTCTACTTAGCTCTCTCAGAAGTGAAGTGCGAATTATTTATGACCATTCAGCTCTATAATCTATAAGAGTTAGAAAGTGGTAATCTGTGCATTTATAACTACCACGACTTCATAATATTAAAGTCGCTATATGCGGCATCCAGAGTAACAATGAAGATATGTTGATGAATACCTGTTAGTAGGAACAGGTAGACCTATGTTCCTTCAGTCACATTTATAATGTTGCAATATATAAAAGCACAGCTAACCTTTTCAAAGTCTAGTGGTTTGACTTTGAAGTTCTGAAAGGAACTAGGTTGTGGTAAATTTTTCATGACTGACTCTAGCGTATCATCTTCTACGGAGGCTTGGGCAGACATCTGAGCTTCAGCGTCAGTTACATCAATTTTAACACCTGAGGTAACGGAATGATTAGATACAAGTTATAGTACATAATATTAACAGAAAACACATGGATGCCAATTTACAACCAAACACTCCAAAATATAATCACAATTGTTGCCAAAGTACAATATTTGATATCCTAATATTAAAAGATTAAAATATTTAAATAAACACGGCATGCTTGAATTTTTTTTAAATGTCAATAACTTTAGAATGTCCTATTAGGTTAAGAGAGGTCATTTTTCTTTATACAAGACAAGCCAATATAGAATTTACTTAGACACAGACAGTTGTCCATGTGGTTGCAGACAAAATTATACAACAGTTTATTAAGATATTTATGAAGATTTGATAACACATCCACACATAAATGTACAAAAAAAAAAAAAGACAAATCCAGAATTGAGACCAGGATAACCCAAAAAGATGACTTAATCCATAATTGACATTGGCATCTCCTTATTTGTTCATTTTGATTCTTTTTTTCTATTGAGCACTTTACAACAATCTCTGAAGGCTTCTATAGTACAAAACAAATTGTGGTTACCAGACTTAGGAGTGAATGCCGGAATGGTTATGGTTTCCATGATACTCCGGATGAATGCTCGGTCCCTGCTTCCTTTAATTCCATATACTTCTGCCTTGAGGTTGGCAGCAGCACATACATAATCCATGTGCATTTCCTATAGGATCAATAATGAAATTAGGTTCCACATCAGTGATGTATGTTACAGTTTTCAAATGGGAGTTGGGACTAATATCAAATTGGAAGGGGGGGAACTAAATGGGAGGAGAAACTAATTTAGGGGAGGGGAAACTGAGCTTGGTCTCAAAATAAGGTGATATGAGATTATTAGTAACTTCTGGAGTGTTATATTTTTGCTTTGGACATTTTCAATAGAAGGGGGAGTGGTGCCCGCAAGCTTTTTGGGGGTATGCACCCCTAAATATGCCATTGTTCCAGACATAAATACATTCTAGCTCTAAAATTTTTTTTTTACTTTAATGATTGTATTGGATAGACTCCCAACTCTGGCCCTCAAGTGTTACCTTCCCAACATAAAATAAAATTGTCAATTGTCCGGTCGTCGGAGGCATTTAATTTTTTTTTTTTTACACATCACAATTTAATGCATAATTAAATTTAATATTTTTTCTTGCTCCAAACCACTAAGTGTACTACTGTTTTGCTATAATAGTGTAAAGATAACATTTGGTCCTACAGGCATTTGATCAAGATCATTTTCATGGTCGGTCCTCAAGCCAGGAGCAAAGCGAATGTACTTACATTATCAAAATCAAAATTGAGAGGATGTGGACATCTTTTAGGACCAGACCAAAATGGAGCACCAGAAGTTGTGACCTATAAAATGAAAAACAAATGTTTTATTTTCTCTACTTTTTCTGTTAATTATGTATTCAAATTTTCTCCACGATACAAATATGCTAGGCATTAGCGTCTGTTGGAAATTCATTGTGATGTCATGCTAGCTACTTATATTCTGACTCACAGTAAGAAAGTTTAGTACCAACATGTGATACCACTGTTTAAATATCATTTGGTTTGTTATTATTTGAAAGTCAAACCTTGTTCTGAAAGATGACCTACCTGATCTGCGGGGAAGTTGTATAGTAACTGCGCTATTTGGTTGTGGTACTGAGTCTGCCAGTACAGCCTGGCCCATCGTACACAATCCTCAAATTCTTTTGGACACTCGTCGACTAAGGCTTTCTTCACACTATCTAATGTATCTATCTGCAAAGATGAGGGAAAAAAAACCCATTTAATTATGCTATAAAGATTGTTATGTGACAAGCAAACTGTGTTAAAAAGTTCAATTTACCAAACCTCCCGGATACTTTTTCCAACTTTGAACCCCGCACTCTTGAAAGTGTTATGAGACAGGTTATGGATTAAGTTTCAAAGTGAATTTTGTTTGATGCAGAGCATCACAATGTTGGATAATAATAAAATGTTATATTTACTTAACAGCATTTAACAAACATTTTAATTATCTCATCATTTCAACTGGTTGTTACAGCCAGGCACATTCTGTGTCAAAGGTCATCAGGGCATGTACACTATTCACTACCCATAAACTTTGAAAATTAGGAAGACTTTTGTCAATTTGAGTATTCAGTGCTTAGAGGTTTCACAACATTTAGCGCTTTATAAATCCAACATACTATTATTACTATTATTGGTTCTTTCGCGATATAATACTAAATTATTATCCTTCACACAAAATGATTTTAGATCATGCTTTCTGTTGTACATTCTCAAATTATAAGAATACAGAAAAAATCTTATTTGTATGTCTAATTTGAAAACTTAGCTTACTGGTTGCATTCCTGGTAGCTTTAATGTCCTCTCTATAAATTTGGAATCTCTGCAAAAGCAATGTTACAATGTATTATTTATTGTGATGTTTAATTAAAAAAGAGATTGAAAACCACATAAGTATCTGATCCAGGACATGCTAGTGATATGAACTTTCTTGGTGGTTACCAAGATTACCTATTACAAAATGGATACCTGAATATATAATAATTACAAAACATTATAATATACAATAAAGATACAGTAACTCAATGCAGTAAAACTCCACTGTAAAAAATTTCATCGGCATCTGTACTTTCAAAATTCTCTTCTAAACCATTCTAATTATTCAAATTATTAAAATGTTTTAATAGACTGTTTAATCTGCATTTGATTGTAATTTTTTTTAATGGCTAATAGACTTTTTATATATGTAACTTTGTAATGTTATACCAAGTAAACCAAACTAATAAAAAATAAATTTACTTACGTAATATACATAAGAGCATTATCATATGGATTTTTAAAGAGTCCTTCAAACTCATCTCTTGCCCATTGTAGCGTGTGTTCTATGGCATTTGGAAAGTTCTTTAGCGTACAAATCGGGATAGATTTCTCCGGAGGATCTTGCGATGATGCGTATGACTCTGTCAATGAGGGTAGCACAACTTGAACGTTGCCTTTTGTTCCCAGGGTTCCAGACTCCAATAGAGATTTTCGGTAAAATACACATCGCCTATCCATATACATTCCTGAGTGGAAGGAATTTGTTATAGATTTTATCATTAAGGAAAATTTTATATCAATAAATAATAAGCCTTCTTGTAGTTTCAACAGCACATGCATAATATGTCAAAGTTCATTTGTTAAAAAACCTAAGCAACTTGTACTTCTCTGCATGTCTATAAAGCATTAATACAGTTATTATTCATTACAGTATAAAGTAGCTGAATAATGAAGCTTACCATGCCAGAACAAGAAAATTTACTTTTTAATATATTCATATTCTCTGAATTATATGCTTAAAAATGATAAGGTATTTACTCGAATTAACTTTTTGAGTTGAAGCATAATTATTCATAGCATAAACATTAATTAAGTATAATTTAAAATCTTTGGTATAAAAAATGTTTAGTAGATTAAATTTTTCAATCATAAAGTAACAACACTTTTTATGCCTAAATCTTACTTGCATCGACGTTGTCCAATGCGTTTGCAACACCATCTAGACTCTCAAAGAAATCGTCATTATAAACACTCTCTGTCTCAGGGCCAACTCGGTTCTGGTGGGGGACAATGTTGAAGGAGGGATTCATCTTTTTAGCTGCACTGGCTGCACAGTCTGATTTGGGTTTCTAAAGGAGTTGAATAAATAAATATTTTTATTTTCATTTTATATTTTGCGCACATTTCTTTTTAGTTCAGTACTGAACTATTTGGCACTACTAGTATTTTTCTTTATGAGGCTTCACCCCCTTGAATCCGCCTACAACCTATTTACACATAAAGTACAGTACACTACTGACCACTGATCACGTTAATGGATCAAATAGATACATTTCAAAAGCTAAGTGTAGTGAACAAAATATCACCTGTTGCGGTAAACACATCTGCGAGTTTGGATTATTGTTCCAACACTGGTAATAAATATATATTCTGATGTAGTACTTTGTTTACGGGAACCAGTCAGAACTTGGATATAGTGTGAACATTGAGGGGGCTATTCCAATGATTAACCTATGAACCCAGTAGTAGCACATCATCTTAATTCCTTTACCCTTTTAAAGACCTGTCACGGCTATCAATTTTATCTGACAAACTCATGTGACATGTTTGAATATGGTCATGATGACATCACAGCATGACCATAATAATATAGGCATATCATGACTATATAGAGGCACATCATGACTATATATAGGCACATCATGACTATATAGAGGCACATCATGACTATATATGGGCATAAAACAGTTTTTAGAAATGCGTTATCATTGTCCATACTTACAGTTACATCATGTGGACGAAATAAGAATTGTCTATTAAGATTTGATTTTTCGATGATATCCATGTCAGTGACGGTGACCTTGCCTTCGGGACTGCATCCCACGCCAACCAACGCGAAGCTTTTCAACAACTCACAACCAATAGCACCAGCGCCTACCTACAATTATGCAAATCAGAAAAAAAGTATATGTTGTTAATTCATTTTCAGAAGACAAGAATGATCTAAATCATGATCAAAACTCAGGAAAAAATTACTCCTTGAAAATAAATGCAGGAGTGAATTAATGTGGGCAATATAAGGAAGAATACAAAGGAACAATATAATAAAATAATCTTCCATAATATTTATGGAAGAATGAGTGCAAGGAAAATGCATTCCAACCCAAAGGAACTGATGTCCATATGCCTTATAAAATTCAAAAACTTGATTGTCACAACTTACAATGAAGTATTTTAAGCTTTCAAGTTTCTTCTGGAAACCGTCACCAAATACCGCAATCTGCCCGTCATATCGACTGCCTTTCTGTTTGGGACAATAAGAAATCATAATGTTATTATATCTAATACTATGGATAAAACTAAATTGATTCTATAGAAAACCAAAGCGTGACGTAAAAGAGCCTGGCTGTGTCCAACAAATAATTTAGACATATGCTGTCCAATATAAGCATGTGCGTAACACAAACTACCATTGAATGGAAGCGTCGTTACTTCGGTACTTTATAGGGGTTTGAACCAAGAATAATTTGCTTACTGGCTGGCACTCTTCCTCTGTAAGGTTGTCGGTACCATTTTCTTGATAACACTCGAGAGCATCGAAGTACATCCATTGTTTGATTGGGTTAAATTTACCACTACATGCCTGCAAACAAAAATAATTTCTACATTAAATTAAATACTACTGATATAAATCGAAATAACATTATTGGATTGGATAGAGAAGGGGTGTGATACACCCCTTCTGTTGGTGAACTGGCAGTACAAAAGCAGACAATCTGCTACTGTTCTCCAAACAGTGTACTGCATTCTCTAATGTTCACATGGGTCATATTACACACAGGAATAAAAGCCCCAGTCTTATTTGAAAGATGCTGCACCATATAATTCGATATTTAATTTTCAGCCCTCCAGCCAAAACAGAATGAGAGCAGCTATGAATAAAAGATCACCATTAAATTAACGTTACCATCACAATAAATTCAACATTAAATAATACTAATACCAAAATTATGGCGAGATTACAATAATATTTTATACCCCCACACTTTACGACAGAATATATTTACATTATTTAGACATTACAAAAGTTTAATTATGATGTCATTACTATTGTAGTAAGTTGGTACCTTAAGAACTTCCTGAGCTGCGACACCTCCAATGAAGGCCTGCATTGGACATATATCCCCCGTAGCAT